TGTCATGAGAAGTTACATGCAGGATGGTGGACATCCGGAGTGGCCCCGGTAGAGCTGTGGACGTCATCTTCTGTGTCAGATCAAGACGTAAATGAAGCCGTATTTCCGAGGGCTGAGCTGTTCCCTATGTTCGTCATAAATGTCCCCTGGGCAGTTTTGACTGGTTTGTTATATTTGATATTGTGGAGCGGCCATACTCATCATCGACCATTCTTCTGTACGTATTTCACAAGACGTGACATTTCCAAGGAAACACTGCCTAGTCGAACCCACCAAGAACTTTCCGGAGAATATGAAGGCTCCCCAACACTGCAGCCTTCTGCATTACCCAGAGTGTCAGAAGGGCTGTACTCCTGTTGGACAACCCGGGCACTCTCCTGATCTGCGCCAAGAGATCAGGGGGTACCAAACCAAGGGCATCGAGAACAATAGGGAGCCTGACGACCGTGTACTTGGGATGCAAGCGAGACATTTCAAAGGCGAGGTCCGCATATTTATCATGCTTTTCCTGAATCTTGCCAATGACATTCCTGTCAAAAGGGACAGAAAATTCAATGACATAAATAAATTCATTGGCTTTATCAAAAAGGACAAGATCAGGTTTGTTGGCAGAAAAATGTATCTGAGGCTGTATACGGGCCTATTCCACAGAAGTTTGAAAGCATCAATTTCCATGACGCCCTGGACATCTTCAGGGTTGTACCATGGATAGACCTCGGAGTCAAAGCCACAGGCTTTGCGGAGACAGTAGTAAAAGCAACGAGCCATGCCATCATGTTTAAGATATGCTGTTTGTGCCAAAGAAGGGCATCCACTGACAAGATGTTAGACAGTCTCTGTAAATTCATTACATAGTCGACATTTCATATTGATATTTTCTTTCAGAATCACACTTTGGCGATTACGAGTGGGAAGTGATTATTATGTTTTACAGATTAAAGATAGTATGCAGCAGAGAAGGTTCGGGTGATCCTGGCACAGTCAATATCTCCCCATCCCTCCAGAAGATCCCGGTTATACGCATTGATCTTCACCAACCAACAGTTAAAGTTAACTGGGTCCGGCGATGGGACTCGATCATTCAAGGAACGCCGTCATATAGCTGGAATTTTTATTAGTGCGTCTTTCAACATCTAGGGCTTCCACGGGTACTCGAGTACTCGAGGACGAGTCGGGTTTAGCTGGACTCGAGTCCATTTTCTAGGACTCGAGGACTCGAAAAGGGGAGATAACTCGAATTATTGGGTTACGTTGACAGACTGTCTGCCATGTGCTGAGCATGAGGGGACGTTAACGTCTAATATTAAGATGATATAACTTTATTATCCCGGAGGAAATTCTTATACATCCAAACTGTCTCAAACTGAATATGTACACAATTCACAAAAATATACACAATAATTACATGCACAAAACGAAAGCTATTTACACAATAAAACTGACATGATATAATTCAATTAACCACATAGGTAAAGAGGCTGAATAATTCTAGTTGTTATCACATGGTGATAATTCAAAATATTTGTTGTATTCACGAATACTTGATGGTATGAAAGACTGTCGAGCTCTGTTTGTTTTGAGGGAAGGTAATCGACAGCAGCGTCCAGAAAGAGCTACTTCAAAATGGTGAGATAAAATATGTTAACTATCAAATCTAATTTTAGTTGCCTTTTTTGACAATCTGGCGCTCATAGATAAAGGGAATATACTCGAAATTTTGCCGGCAGTATTAACTATTTTGAAAAGTTTGTTTTTGTTGCGATCAGACAGGCCCCATAGGTCAACACACTTTGAATAAAGGTTTGATAAAAACTGTCATTACAGTTTTGTCAATGCCTTGACGATAATAAGGTTCAGAATCAGAAATTACACCAGTAACAGTGGCGTCATCTGCGAATTTCACAGCTAACAAGTCATTTAATGACAAGTAACAGTCACTGGTATACAAAACGAAGAGTGCGGATGAAAGAACACAGTCCTGTGGAGCTCCAGTAGAGGTTGAGAGGAAAGACTGACTGAGTTTAGTTTTACGCCGCTTTTAGCAATATTCCAGCAATATCACGGCGGGGGACACCAGAAATGGGCTTAACACGTTGTGCCCATGTGGGGAATCGAACCCGGATCCTCGGCGTGACGAGCCAACGCTTTAACCACTAGGCTACCCCACCGCCCCGAGAGGAAAGAAGATTTACACTGACATACTGAGTTCTATGTACCCTGAATTCTTTAACCCATCTGATAATGTTTTTATTAACGCCTAGATTAAATAGTTTACTCCTCATAAGGTGTGGCTGTATGGTATTAGTTGTTACAAGTCTGCAGATGAGAGTAAATATTATACATCGTTTGAGATTTCACTTCTTAAAATGATTAGGTAACTATCTTAACAGACATGGAGAACGATAAAAAAATCAAATGTATGAGCGTGTCTTGATCTGGATAGTGAAAAGAGAAAAAGTCACCAAATGCTGCCTGTGCGGTATATCACTGCGTTATGCAGGCAGTACAACCAGTACGATGAAAAAAAAACCACATTTGGCAAGTAAACATCCAAATACTGATTCTGACCAATGGGAAATGTTAGTCACACGACGATATGAAGTCGGAATGAAGTAAGTGTTCACTTGTGTGATCGGAACACATGTCATGCCAGTTACGCTATCGTTTGTTTGAAAGGTATGAATTTCGAGTACTCGGGTCCGAGTCGAGTCTAACCCCTCGAGTACTCGAGTCCAAGAAAATGGACTCGTTGAAGCCCTAGAGCTTTCGCCGATGAAAACTCATGGTGGATCCTCATAAGCCGTGAGAGTGACCAGCCCATAGCGATGTCACAAAACGTCGCAACACGATAAATAGTCCTCAAAATGTGTCCACTTCGGCAGAAAGTGCGAAGTTGTATCACGGCTGTCCCTTTCCGCTCTGAATTTATACCAGTTGTCATCCCCAGTCTAGTCAGTCTGCTTGACTGTCGTGATCATGACCACATACACCAATGGGAGTCTTACATACGTCACATTCTGGAAGCTTGTCGGCGCAATATACAATTGTCAATTTCTGGTCACGTGGAGTTCTAACAATAGCTCCGCAGTGCGATGGGTATGGCGACAGCCATTTACCGAAACCTCCGAAATCCCCTTTATGGATATCATGTGCGAAAATACGACGATCCAATCAGGATGCGCATAAAGGGTTGAGGTACTTTGATAAAAATAATCCCGCTTACATTAATCGGTTTAATATGATTGTCTAGAAAACTTATATCAAATGTATCGTCATTTTCACATGACTTTTATTACAACTGCATATTCAAGAAAATAATCCCATTTGCGATTTTTAACCCGTCTTTAGAAATATGCATTTATAAAATAGAATTTTTATTAGCCGTTTACTTTATATCTATAATGCATACATTAAGACGGGTTAAAAACCAAAATGGGATATTTTTCTTGAATGTACAATTGTAATAAGAAAAATAACTTCATCTGCAAAAAGTCCCAAACACAATTGCTTAAAAATAGTTATCACCTCTTAATAAATATGGAGATGAAAATAAAAATAAAAATAAATTTCGAAACCAAATGGATCAACACGCATATAATGTCGGTAATCGCAGGTAAAATCTCAGAAGAAAACACTGAGTGGAAACACGGGAGCAGTTATAAATGTGAACAAACACACGAGTATGTATTTGAATGTTTCACTGTTCATGGCGCTGTCGATATTAAAAACTCCAGATTATGCAAAACAATTCTGCTATAGTTACATCGTTATTTGTAATGTCAAAATGACGATACATATTTCCCGCGATTTTCTAAACAATCACATACTGTCATAACCGATTAAATGTTCTCGGGATTATTCTTATTAAATTACCTCAAACCCTTCCACTCATTCTTATAGGTTTGGCGTATTTTCGCTTATGATATACATCGGAGACGAGACACTCTCGGCGGTTACGGAAATAGGCGAGTGGTGACGAATGGTGGAAAGGTATCATTTGCAAGGTGAAGGTTATTTCAGAATTGACAGAGTGAACTAAAAACTGACACGACTGGGCTACGTTCTGACCCCTAGGTACACTAATCAGCATCACGTTCGTCAAATCCAATCACACATCACAGACAATTGGAAACAGTCAACTTCCCCTGCATCGGCAAATCAAAACAGTAACCCTCAGCGCAGGCGGCTACATTTAGTGGGGATTCCCCATCACATGACCCGGTTTCCCGTGACGTCATTTTCTCCAGCGTGTTCTGCGCCAGGTGTTTGGAGTTTCGTCAGCAGGTGTGCATGTTGAATATGACAGCGTAGAAACCATGTTGCATCAAGACCCGAAACATAAACATATCCCTCCACGCTGGAACCTCGTCGACTATATAAACCAGGTTTAATAATACTGTATCATTCAAGCTGTGATCGAGACACAACATAAGACGACATTAACGCGTCCTGCACTGTCTCAGATATTAAATATTGACTTCTCGTGTCAGAGCTACTCAAATCATGGGTGTTATCTTGGATAAACTTGCTGACTTAACAGGCCTGTTCTCCGGGTTTTCCAAAGACCCAGCAAGAATTCTGATGGTTGGACTCGATGCTGCCGGTATGTTTATGAATATTTATTTGCAGCTACCTTTTAAACAACTTGTTAATACGGTATATTTCATTCAAAATTTACATGATAAACTTGGCATTTCACTGATGTTTTATGTATTTCTTCTTTCACAAATTGTTATGGTTATATAGATCTATGTGATATTTCATTGTAATGTTGCATGATACATTTCGAAAATTTACATAATTGATTTGAACAAAATTTTACGTTTCACGAAACAATTGTTCATATTTTTCAAATAGAGATGTGCACATAATGTTTTGTTCGGAGAGATGTTACATAAACGAATATTTATTACTATTTACATTGGTAAAATTGAAAGAAGAGAGTTTTTGTTCACGCCCAACGCACAGTACAATATATTGTAGTAACAGTGAATGTATGGATGTATATTGTAGGTAAAACGACGATCTTGTACAAGCTGAAGCTGAACGAGGTGGTCTCCACCATCCCCACCATCGGCTTCAACGTGGAGACCGTCAGCCCCTGCAAGGGGGTCAACTTCACCGTGTGGGACGTGGGGGGTCAGGACAAGATCAGACCCTTGTGGAGACATTACTTCCAGAACTGCAGCGGTGAGATTTGTTGCTTGTTTTTAGGAGGGTGTTTCGTTCGGTTATTTTCGTTTTCTTATTTTAAGGGCTGAGAGTAAGTTTGGTTTTGTATTGCTGAATGACAAACAAAGCCTTTCTGGTGATTTGTCAGTGAAGTTAATACAGAGTTAATGTACTAGAACCCTAATTTATACTATGTTCTTACATAGCTATATTTATTGTGGAAATATGTGCGCCTCCAGGTGGAGATATGTGTTCAAGATTCGGTCGTTTCTCTCATTACGGCGTCAATTGAATATCATCTTGTTATATTGCAGGTATCTTGTACGTGGTAGACACCAACGACAGGGAGAGGTTTGTCGAGTCACGTGAAGAACTGAAGAACGTCATCGACAGCGACGAGATGAGATCCGTCCCTGTGGTCGTCCTGGCTAACAAGCAAGACTTGCCAGGTAGGGACATGGGGGAAACGTAATCTAGCCAAACCCGGATTATCAACATACACGCTTTGAGGGGCTTGGTTTTCATATTGATGTGATGGTGATACTGCTGGTGTTATGATGGTAGTTATGATGGTGATACTGCTGGTGTTATGATGGTAGTTATGATGGTAGTTATGATGGTAGTTATGATGGTAGTTATGATGGTAGGTATGATGGTAGTTATGATGGGAATGGTGATCATGGAGGGCTTTGTAGGCATTTAGAAGTTTGATATACACACTACGAGAAAACTGTTTCAGTTACTTGATCCAGGGTAAAACATTATACCTTGAATGAACTTGTTATTATCCATAATATTTCCAGTCATCTTATGTTTCTTGTTATTGTTTTGGTTTAACGTCAGTGTGTGGGAAGTACAGTCTTGAAACTAACGCCGTTATTGATAAAACAATCATATTGATGCTGAATCTCAACATTGTTTCCTCAAGCTTCCGCCAAGTTGTCGGAAGTAGTGGACGCCCTTCACCTTCAGAAGATGACGGACCGGAAGTGGTACATCCAGGGGACATGCGCTACGACCGGGCAGGGTCTGTTCGAGGGTCTGGAGGAAATGTCCAGACTGGTGAAAGATTTCAAACAGAGCAAGAGGCGGTGAATATTTAAAGACATAAATAACCACAAACTTGTATCTGTGATAATGTCCAGAAGCTCAGGGATGACAAACTGAAGGGTATCTGTGTTGACACCTGAATGGACTGATGTGACCTCCCACAACTATATTTAATCACGTGTTTGATTGTTCAATACATGATATGCAAGTTGAAATGCTGTCATATGACTTTGACAAGGTTTGCCAAGTCTGTATTGTGGTGGAGGAAGCCAAAAGGAGGACCCCACTGCTGCGACACGTTGCCATCAGAACAAAGACTCCAATCTCGATGTTACTGATTCAATCTTATGCCAAGGCCGTCTCCATGGTTACCGATCCTTACCGTGTTGTCACGTGATGACTCGAGATCTGTAGTGCTATCAGTCTTTCGTTACTGTTATACGTATGTAGCAATTTGTTATAAAATTCATCGTGTAAATACTCACATGATTCCAACATTCCTTGGTTTGTCTTTTTTCTGAACACGTTGTATGGTGTTTGTGTTTTCAATACGTGTGTATACGTTCATGTTTTATTTACCTGTTGTTTTGTACTTAAACATGTAATTGTATTGTTGTTGCAATAAAAGTTTTATTATTTTTTTTCACAAAGTTATTTGTCCATAATTGACATCCAGACACATTGTGCAATGCTGAGCATCGATCCCTGGATGCACATTTCGGACAGTTGCGGCGTACAACAATATTTACTCGTTCCCCCTTTTGATCATCAGATCTTTCATCGTGAACTCATCAGTGGTGGACGTTAAAACGTTTTAAAATTAATATTACATTTATTAACTCATTACACCCAAAACTATCTATTTGATGAACGTTTCCTTCCAGATTGTTTTCTACATCCGTTTAATAGAAGTCCGACCGAGGTTCCTTTGATGGACTCATGGGTTCGATGCAGCAGTCGCTATTGTACGCATTCTTCCCGGCCCTGAAGAATTACTGCGTCTTATTCTCTCATTCCAACAGAGCGGGCGTTTCAAATGTTGTTATTTCCTTCCAAAGTAGCAAGCCCCTTGCCACTCAGGGCATACGTAATATAGCGACCATTCATATTGCATTAGGATCCTTCTGACCTACAGTACTTGGATAGTTAAGATAGAAAAAACCCAAATGTTTAGAAGGTATAGTGACAGTTATCAAATGTGTAAATATGCAATTAGTCTTCGTTCATTTCATTACTTCTATTTCCTTGTCATGCAACAACACTAAATGTTATGGTTAGGCTAAAATGTAAAAAAAACATAGCTGCTTTTAGATATTTTAATACATTTTGAGAATGAACGATCATTTGAATGCAGCTGATATTTGAAAAAGATGATTATAAAATCAGAAGAACCAATTGGTAAATCATTACAATCCTCCAGTGACTTTTCATGAAATGACGACGGCCTGTAAATAGCAGACACTACAGTGATCGATATTGTGAGCACTGACCAACGCCGTCGGGTTACGATGACACGCTATGAACGAGTTCATGCCGAGTCTGACTACCGTTTGGTTGCCTGTTCAGTCAAACATACGTTGCTAGGGATTTAATCGAATCAGGGTTCCCCATGTAGGTGTCCTTACCCACGCCACATTAGTTTTGTGTTTTGTCTTACCACTTACATACATATGGATCTCAAAACCCTACACATGATGCCTTGACGTGTCCAAAGGCTATATGAATCTTCGTTGCATGTGTATTATGTCAAGAGACGTTGATAAGGTAAGCAGCGTGCATTGAACAAAATCGCAAAACTTTGATCGAACTGATTAAGGGAAACACAACGTATACTCATAGACAGGTATGATACACACAATGTGACGTTTCCTTAAATAGTTCCACATGCTGGGAGATGGAGATTACTGAGAACAGTGAAGCAATTACATGTTGTAGAGAATCCAATTCCGATTGTGCACAACCTGAAACAAGTGATGATATGGCGCAACGAGCTATTGCAAGTGAATCCGGGTCACTGGGTCACCAGGCAGTTCCTATATGTGTTGATGATAAGACATCATCCTGGAAGAAAACGTCGACATACGTGACGACATAGTGTGTCAGTGTGTTGTCCTTGATGTACTGTTCAGTGACCTTCACACAACATGGAGTGAGGTTTACAATCATAGAGATGTCCCCGATCCACGCAATATTCGTTGACATTGGCTTGGCGTTTCTTTGACGTTGCCAAAGACGTCACGTCAACGTAATGGAGACTAATCTGGACCCCTGAAGCCGATGATGCTCCAGTTAAGATATGTGTAGGGTACTACAGGGAACCGTAACGCCAAAGAAACTGGCATCAAGGTATAGACTGTGACTGATGGGTCTTAGCACTATATACAAGGAAAGGAGTGTAACGAGGCGAACACATAAAGTTCGTTTCAGGACGAATTCCACAATGATCACTATATATACCCCTATGAAGTCATAAAGTCATACAGTCTATATAGTCAAACTAGAAACTTCACAATCATATAATAAATAATATATAAAAGAGAGGACACAAGAATGTGGTATAGAGGTTATCATTTACTTGTTAAGGTCGATATGATGAACTGAGCATATCACAATGCCAATAATCGGTTCCATATGGTTACACAATTTATCAATAAAAGGCGTAAACAAAGTGTCAAGTCACAAGAAATTAAATCTGATGTTTCAAACATTCAGTAGCGTGTATGGCCATCCTGTTTGTTCACAACTGCCAAGCAACGCCTCTTCATGGGCAGTATATCGTGTGTAAACACATTATTGGGGAGTCAGCGCAATTGTTCCTGCAAAGCAGCACCAAGATCCTGCAAACTCCGGGGTTGGTTCCGGAGAGTGCACAGACCTCTACCAAGAGCATCCCAGATGTGGTCGATTGGATTGAGATCAGGTGGCCTTGACGGCCAGTCAAGAACATTGATTCCTGCGTTGTGCAGGTAATTCGTGGTCAAGTTGGCTGTATGTGGTCTGGCATATTGTTATGTTGAAAGTGTAGACCTGGACCATGTGCTGCCATGACTTGAATAAATTCGGGGGGTTAGCACCTGGTCGCGGTAACCTGCAGCATTAAGGTTCCCACGGATAACCAGAAGTAGGGAACGGGCAATCCCACAGAAAGTACCCCAAACCATGATACTTCCGACCCCAAATCTGTCAACTTCCTGTACACAACACTGAGCATAACGTTCACGGCGTCGCCTCCACACTTTCTTCCTACCATCAGCGAATCTGAGGGTAAATCTTGATTCATCACCGAAGACAACTCGATTCCAGTTTCTGTGAGTCCATCGGAGGTGTCGTCGGACCCACAGAAAACACTGACGTCAATGTCATGGCGTAAAAATGATTCCGCGATATGGTCGTCAAACACGAAGGTGTACAGCTCGCAGCCGGTTTCGGGTGGTTTGTGCCGACAGTCGACCCCTAAACAGCTCATTTCTGGAACCTGTTTCCGTCAAAAAACGATTACGGAGGTCACGTGACACAGTTTGACGGTCCTCCGCCTGTGACGTCACACGTGGCCGGCCTGGCCTGAGGCGATCAGTGGTGCCGTTATTGCAATGAAACGTTTGACAAATTGTTTTATTGTAGTGTATGTCAGCTAATGCCTGGCTGAAATCAAGGGTAAATCACTGGACTTGTCAGTGAGTCAGGGTATGCGTCAGTTACCATGATGCAGTCCATGATGAGTGATGAAGGAAAAGTCCTGTCTTTCCAGGCAGATGTCCGTGTGTATATGAGTGGTGCCCTGCAAGTCTTGGACCATGTGTTACTGAAACCAACAAGTATCAAGGACATCCCCCTGTATCACACTCACGACTAGTGGTAGTGTAGCCTTACATCTAGTGGTAGTGTAGCCTCATGACTAGTTGTAGTGTAGCCTTGCGACTAGTGGTAGTGTAGCCTTACGTCTAGTGGTAGTGTAGCCTCATGACTAGTTGTAGTGTAGCCTCATGACTAGTGGTAGTGTAGCCTCACGACTAGTGGCAGTGTAGCCTCACGGCTAGTTGTAGTGTAGCCTTACGTTTAGTGGCAGTGTAGCCTCACGATTAGTGGTAGTGTAGCCTCACGACTAGTTGTAGTGTAGCGTTACGACTAGTGGTAGTGTAATCTCACGACTAGTTGTAGTGTAGCTTCACGCCTAGTGGTAGTGTAGCCTCACGACTAGTTGTAGTGTAGCCTTACGACTAGTGGTAGTGAAGCCTGACGGCTAGTGGTAGTGTAGCGTCACGACTAGTGGCATTGTAACCTCACGACTAGTGGTAGTGTAGCCTCACGACTAGTGCTAGTGGTAGTGTAGCCTCACGACTAGTGGTAGTGTATCTTTACATTTAGTGGTAGTGTAGCCTCACGATTAGTGGTAGTGTAG